TCGGCACACATCGATATGCGAAGCAAAAAAATACCAAGCCAACAAATCGTCGAAACTGAAAATTGCAAATACTTTATCAGCAGCATAGGTAGGGACCAGTAGTAATTAAACTTTCATAGAATCCCAGTTACATTGACATATCCGATTCTTTTTTAATATTGAGGATATCTACTTTGAATTAATATTCCGTTGCGTAGTGAAAAGAGAGGAGGGAAGCATAAGTTCAGAGTCAAAAGACAAATCCCATCCAAATTCGCGCTCTACAGGAGTTGGAGGCATTCGGGAATAACAAATCCAGCGAATATCTTTAAAACTCACTCAGATTGGGTAATTCGAACACATTTGCTGGTACAACAAAAAATACAAATGAGATGATCCTGTTCCGGTAGATTTGTCCTACGGTGCATTTCGATGACCTTTTGTATATTACATATAAAATCTGAAAAAATAAGGAAAAAACAGAGTAGCTGATAATGGAATGGCAATTTGTTTTGATACTTTAGCGAGCTGCAGCCCGTATGATTTTCCCGACTATACTAGATGGCAATTTTTCTAGTTGCTCTGACCATTGCTACAATACCTGCTGGTGGTCCTGACTAGGCTTGGTGTTTATTTCGTTGCCTGAAAAAATGATAAGCTCCGTCTCTTTCTCTGTCACAGTCAGCACTTGCTCTTCAACTTTCATAAGTTACCGGGTTTCCTATCCGTATGTCACTTCCTTCAACAGAATGGTATTCGAAGAGATCGGCACAGTTCTTTCGGACTGACAATTTCACATAAACATGCGTAACGACCAGAATAGTAAGATGATCAAAAAGCTGTGGCATTTCATCTTGCGGAACTTTTTTAGCTCGATTGATCAAAAAAAAAAAATGTGAGAATCGTAAAACTTTGCACCTTGTACTGTCATCACCTTCAAACATTTTTGTTTGAAGATTAATTCATTTGTCGCTCCTGACTTGCCAGGACTATCTTAGCGTTCAGAAATCTCAGAACGGCTAAAGTATTGCCAAATGTTTTTATTAGAACTGTTGTGCTGTTAATCTTTTAAGAAAACGGAATGAGCGTCAGAATTGCTAGCAGGCTGACCAAGAGAGGGCTCAAATTTGGTCAAACCAACTGGCAAAAATAGCCAGCTGCATAGTTAAAGTATCACTTCATAAACTGCACTCAAACGAAGTATCAGAGGAAATAATTAGAAATGAAATTTAGGGCACTAACACAGATCGACAGCAAAAATGATCCAGAAGTTATAAGACTCATTGATAATGTGTACTGAAAAACTGCACTGGAAAATTTGCTCCAGCCAAAAAATGGTATATCTGTTGATGGCAGGCAAATTAACATCGACAATAGCGTTATACCGAGGTGCAAAAGAATTTTTCTGAAAATTAAACAGAGATATTGTCAGAAAATTGTTTGTCAGTGTGTGTATGTGTGCGTGTGTGTGGGTGTGTGTGTGCGTGTGTGCGGGTGTGTGGGTGTGTGTGTGCGTGTGTATGTGTTTCCTAGTGTTGCACTTTGTCACCCATTTTCAACTCAGCAACCGCAGAAGTCAGGAAGTTAAAGTTTTCAGGTCATATCCCATCCTAGATGTAACTTTTTCATTTTAAAACCGCCGCAATACGTAAGCCTAGGCTTCACGTACGGCCGTCTGAAAGAAAATATGAAAAAGTCCCGACGAGAAAACGATTTTGAGAATCAAGAAGCTAAAATTTCATAAGAATTTTCTCTGCCGTTCTGTAGCTAAAAGTTTCAAATTCAGTTTTGAGACAAATCTAATCACACTCTCATAATACAGTACATGAACCTTTTAAAAAGTAACTGAAATTTGCTGTTTGGATGATATAGAACATAAAGCTCGAGCAGGGCACACATAAATACCAGTCGAACATGCACGGAAAACCAAAGGCCGAAAAATTCCGTCACACCAGACATAAGACGCCTGAGTTGAAAACAACGTACAATTAGTCAAAATTCATTAAAGAACTTAACACAGTGTTAATGCCATAAAATAAACCGTAAACAACCGCTGGCAGACGATTTACTGGTGTTTTTGTCATTAAACTGGTTATTTCATTAAATGGGACTTTGATCGACCATCTGGCTTTTCAGCAGTGCAATCTGGCTACCTTTTCCGGTTGCTTTAATCGATGCTGCATCCTGGTGCAACCTGCCGGGAGACCTGGCGCTTGCTTTATCTTTTAAAGTTTTATCAGCTCAACGATATTCCTCATAAAAACCCTCGGCAAGGCTTTAATCGTTTCAGGGTTTCTTTGGCGGTCTCGAATGTTGCAGTCCCATATCACCATGAGGTATCTTTTCAACTGAGAGCATAACAAGTAAATTAATGAAACGTTCTATTGACAAAAAAAGTGTTTTCTAACATGCTGTACTTTAAAAAAAAAGCGCAAAAACTATTTTCTAATATGATATAAAAAAAAGTGTTGCATATTCTGATCACGTGTGTGTTTGGGTCTGTCTGGTTATTTCAACTTGGGAACTAAGCAGACTTCGATGCTGAAATTTTGCTAGTGAGTTTCTTGGCCAAACGCCACCCCAGAAGCGCGGTACTAGCCCTCATGAACATCTGGGCCTTGCGTACGAGCGCGTGAAATTTTTGACGGGAAATAGCTAACTTGGGAACCAAGAAAGCTCGGGGGCTGGAATTCAGAAGGGATGTTTCCAGCCCACGTACAACTCAGAAATTTTAAATTGAGGCCCCAGGAGTGTGTGATTCTCATGTGCGGCCCGTGAAAATTTTTGGCGGGAAAATCGCTAACTCGGGAACCGGGGAAGCTGGGAGGCTGAAATTTTAAGGGGGAATTCCCTTACCAAATACCACGTAGTTGCATAATTAACTTTCTGAACATAGAGGACCAGCGCGTCACAGATTCTAGCTACTGGGACTCCAAGCGATCTTACTACAGCATGAAATACTGCAAAAACACGTGATCTCACGAGCCCGCCGGGTGTGCTTCGCTAGTGATTTTCAATAGAGTCATTGAAATGGGATGTTTCCACATGTCGGATGCACTTACTCCGAGCATTTTGACCCAGGGCAGTATGCTTCCAGTTAGTACCCACCGCCTATTCAATCTATGTACAGCACCTCTTTGGGAGTTGCCCGAACGATCATTTTGTTTCTCGCCAGCGACATTAACTAACGTGCAATATTCACTGCTTGTCAGCAAAGCAAGCGATATATTTGGCTCATCGGATTTTGCTGAACTGAGTAACACAAAGGAATGAAATGCTGACCACAGAAATAACTTAACATCGCATGGATTTCTTGTGTTCAATGCATCGTAAAGTGAATCATAGAGAAATTCCCTCGCCATTAATAAAACTTCGGCAACAAACGATACGGTGAATGTGCTTATCGCATACCACTTCACCGATTCACCGCTCTGTACCAAGGCAAATGACAGGAGCAGCACCAGAAGTGACAATACAGCTCCCAGTACCGAAGCTGTCGTTGAGTAAGTCATCTTTAGCCTCCTGAAATTCCACGATTGTCAGAAACTTCGTACTATCACTGCTGGACGTTTGATGCCATTGGGATGTCGGGTTTTTCTGTTTTAGCCTAACTACTTCCAATTTTTATTAGTCGTATCTGTTTCAGGTGAGGGTTTGCGTTTTTGGCTTCTTTTTATGTTTTTTTTTATGTCGATGAACAACCGCCATTGCAGTAGAAGGATCCGCTCGAACGGCTAGTTGGAATTATGTGAATGAGAAAAATCGGAAGTAAAGCAGAATACAGAAATTGTCAGCCACACCAGTGGCGGGAAGAGACGCAACGATGGAGCAGCAGCTAACTGTCTTGTCATCTAATTGTCAAGTTAATAAAATTGTCATCCATTTTAGTCCATCGACATGTCTGACCAAAAAATTTCGATGGCGCGTTTTAGAAAATGAATTCCTGTACCAAGAAAATCCAGATTCTTATATGTTTGGAAAAATTCTGTTAGGGAAACATGACAGAGTCAGTCAGAATTTTTATATGTTGGAAAAACTATTTTTTAAGGAAAAATTTTTTAATTACTCCATTTCCAATGCATAGTGAAATTTCAATACGAAAAGCCAAAAATTCTTTTGTATTTGCTCTCTGTGAAAAATGGAAGCGCTCGGAAACATTCCGAGGATAACTAGTGTTTGCAGTACGTGCTAGCAAGACAGTCGATGCCTCCCTCATTCGTGAGTTGCTTACTGGCAAGTGGTATTCGATGCCCTGAGAATAATTCTCAGGACATCGAATACCAGCTTGCCTTTATTAAAGATGAAATGAAAAATGAAATGTTGCGAATGACAAGTTGTGATGTAAGTGAAGAGAAAGGGCAATGAAATTTGTAGCTTTCTTCATTTTCCTTGCAACTGCACACCTAATTTTTTATGCGTTTTTGCCGTGCAGCGCTAGAGCGCTGCAACAGGCAGCAAAAACGCATATTG